CAATAGTAGATAACCATAGTGGAATTTTTAAATAATATTGCTTTTTTATCTTCTCGCAGTTCAGGAACGCTTCTCAAATATGACATCTAAAATACCCCTGCATTTTAGTTCCCTTATACCAGAGGAAGGCATGCCACCCTAACAGCAGGTCATGTCCTTCTAAATTCAAAAGTCTAGTATTCCTTAGTGTTATCCACTCCTTTACCCACATCAAACTCGTCACCTGGTAATATAATTCCCAATTGGGCAAAGCAAATCCTCCCTTTATTCTTGCATCTTGTAACAATTTAAGTTGTATTCTCACTTTTTTCCCCTGACAAATGTATTTTGGCACTATTTTGTTTAAATCTTTAAAAAAATTATTTCCCTACTCTGATTGGAATTGTCCGGAATAAGTATAAAATTCTAGGCAATACATTCATCTTAATTGTAGATATTCTCCCAATCAATGATAATTGTAAATTTTCCCATTTTATCAAGTCTGTTGCAATCTATTGTTTGAGTTTAAGATAATTATCCTCTTTAAGTGTGCTACATCTTGGTGTTATATGTATCGCTAAATACTTAACCTTATTTGTGACCTGGATCCCCAAAACTTCCTCCAATTCTTTCTATTGTCTTGCTAACATGTTGTTAAAATCTTTGTTTTATCTTTATTTATTTTCAAACCTGCTACTTTCCCATACTCTTCTATCTTTTCTATCAGTTTAGATGCTGACTCCAATGGATCCTCTAATATGAATACCAGATCATCTGCAAAAGCTTGTAATTTATACTCTTCTTTTTAAATTTTCATTCCTTTTATTTCTTTCTCTCTCTCTGATACTCCTATTCAGCACTTCCAGTATTAACACAAACAACAGAGGCGACAGTGGACAGCCTTGTCTAGTCCCTTTTCTTATATCTATAAAGTCTGTTAACTCTCCATTTATCATAACCTTTGCAGTTTGTTTACAATAAATCGTTTCTATGGCTTGAGTAAATTTTTTACCAAAGCCCATTTGGTCCAATTGTAGCAGCATAAAACGCCAATTCACATTATCAAAAGCTTTTTGTGTATCTAAAAACATCAAAGCCATTTGTTTTTCAGGATGTGCCTCAAAGTATTCCAGTGTATCTAAAATTATTCTCATATTGTTTTTAATTTGTCTCTTCGGCAGAAATCTATTTTGATTAGGATGAATAAAATTGTTTAAGTAGCTTTTCAGTCTTTCTGCCAGAATTGAAGCAAAAAATGTATAATCTGAATTTGAAAGTGATATAGGTCTGTAGTTTTTAACTTGCTGTGGGTCCTCCTTCAGTACAAGTGTAGTATATGCTTCTGACCATGTTTTTGGTACTCTCTTGTCATAACTTCATTCATAACTTCTAATAAGTGAAGATTCAATGTTTCCTGAAATATCTTATAAAATTCCACTGGCAAACCGTCCGGACCTGGTGTTTTCCCAATGTTTCGTTTTTTAAAAACTTCTGTTAATTCCATCATTGTTATGTTACTTTCTAACATTATTTCAATATCTTTGGGTATCTGGGGCAAATTTGCTTCCTGTAGGTATTGTTGAATTCTTCCTTCCTGAACATTCTCTTGATGGTACAATTTTCCATAATAATATTGAATATTTTTCTTCTTCTCTGCATTTCCACAGCATACATGTTCTTGTTCATTTATCAATTGTGTATCCAAGCCTCCAAGGGACAGTGCTACTTATTTCCCTTTCCTTTCTCTTCCCCTCTAATATTTAAGTCAGGAATAAAAAAAATAAAACTAGTCTAAAGTTGTTAAAAAGAAGAAACAACAAAAAAAAAACTTTTCCAAAGAGTTATTTTAAAAGGAAAAAATAAAAGTTAAAAAGGAAAGACCAGTCCAGTTTAAAAATTGAAAAGTTTTTACAAAAATCCAAAGTTCCCAAAAAAATGAAAAAAAAAAACTTTCAGGTTTAATTTGTGCTTAATCTCGCCGCTTGACCACTTTTATCTTCACTTTTAAATTGAACTTTTAGTCTTTTAGAGTGTTCTCTCCAGAAAATAATAAGTCGAAATTTATCTCGCCAAACTGACACACTTTCTTTCCAGCTTTCTTCCGTTCCAGAGCTGTCCCAGCTTCAGCAGCTTTAATGGCTGCCTCTCCTGGATCTACCAGGGACTTTGCAATGTTCCTGGGATCGACAGGATGCGCCCTCCTCAGTCACCATCTCTACGGGGTGGTTTAGATCCGGTGGGACTGTCCTGCAATGGAGATATCAGCGGCGATCTTAGAGCTTCAAGATCGCACACTGTACCGCCACGATGCCAGCTCCGCCCTCTCAAGCTGTCAAGTTTGAAGATCCTTTGTATAGGGTCTCCTGCTTGAGCAGGGGATGGACTAGAAGATCTCTTCCAGCCCTATTCTGGTTGGTTGAAGCTCATATCCAAGGCATCAGAGATGGACAAAAAAGAGGATCAGATTTTCTACCTGCGACTCTGTCTTCTGTGGTTGGGTTGCCTGAATCCTTGGACAGGAAATGGACCATCTTTGGATCTTCCTGAAATTGCAGCTTGTCACTTGAATTCTTTGGATAAGGTCTTCTGCTTCTTTTGCACACAGAAATCTTTGTTTTTCAGTGTGCTTTGTGTTACATTGGTGAAAGATTTACAACTGCAATAAATATCTTGAGTATTTTTTTTATCAGTAGTTGGCTAGGGGTGTAACTAGCAGCCCAAAGAACAGTTGTATCTCTCTTAGAACTTTTGCAAACTATCAAAACTTTTTCTTCCTGCCTTTTCTTTTTTGTGTTCCTATTATTAATCTTTAACAGGATTTATGGCTTAGAGTCAAGGGAAGAACATGTTTACAGAAGGATAGAGATAGGAGTTAAACAGTTCTCTATACGAATAGAATAAAATAGACTAGAATGAAAAGTAAAGGTAATACATAGATACGGAGGTTCAATGCCTTTAACTAGAGTAAGAGACTTTTAACAGGACCTGCAATTGAGCAAAACTTGGCTCCATTCCTGGAAATGTCACTGGAGAAGTCAGCAAGTTAAAAGCAAATAATCTTGAGTTTAGGAGCAGCCTGAATAGCAAATAAGCAGTGGGGTGAGTTCGGTGTGCCAAGCACAATAGAAGGGGCAATGAAATAAAACAGTTTGCTGATTGGATTGCTGAGTTGAATCAGATGTCCAAAGGTTTTGCGTTAAAGCAATTTTAAAAAGCTTATTTCAATATACGAGACAAGGAAAAAAGTCATCTGTTCACTAATGGGAGAAGATGGCAAGGGACCAGTAGCAGGGAAAAAGCAGAACTGCTTAATTTATTCTTCGTATCAGTTTTCATGCAAAAGGGGAAAAATAGTCCAACCTACCAAAAACCGCACTGTAGGAGACAGAATAGGAATGCAAGTCACAACAGGCAAGAAATTGGAAGAGAACACCTATTTATGTTAAATGAGTTTAAATTGCCAGGACCATCCTAGAGTGGTTCCAATCTACAAAAGGGGGAAGGGAGTGGATCCAGGAAACTACAGACCTATCAGCCTGACATCAATACCTGCCGAGATCCTGGAATTGGAGATTAAGAGAGTTGGAAGGGACCTTGTAGGTCATCTAGTCCAACCCCCCTGCCCAAGCAGGAGACCCTACACCATTTCTGACAGATGGCTGTCCAGTCTCTTCTTGAAAGTCTCAAGTGATGAAACTCCCCCAACTTCTGAAGGCAACTTCTGTTCCATTGGTTGATTGTTCTCACTGTTGGAAAGCTTATTTCCAGGTTGAATCTCTCCTCGCTCAGTTTCCATCCTTTATGCCTTGTCTGGCCTTCAGGTGCTTTGAAAAATAGCTTCACTCCCTCTCCTCTCTGTGGCAGCCCCTCAAATATTGGAAGACTGCTATCAAACAGCGCATTTGCGCTAGAAAAGTTGTCAAGGGTTACTTCTGAACACCTTGTCCAATGGAAGCTGCAACAGGCCGAGTAAAGCCTTTTTAGAAACACCTCCACATATATACACCTCACATGAAAATGAAATAAGCTGCCTGGAATTTAGCTAAATTCTTTGTGACTTTATATTCTGCTTGTTTGCAACCAGCCAAGGCAGGCTAGATGCTGCAACCTGGATAACAGGCATTCAATACTAAAGTAGTAAAATAAGGTATGAATGCAGAAATTACCACTTGCACATTTCTGCTCCCTTAAGGCATATTAATAATCCCCAGGCAGGGAATATGAAATGAGCATGAAATGTCCGGCCTAGGACTAATAATGTGCTTTTAAGTTTTGAAGGGGAGTTGACCCAGGAGGTGGGAATACATTCTCCAGCTGTGGCCAAGCAACAACAACCAGGATGGCTCCCGAAATGACATCTGACCTCTCTTATCTCCTGCTTGTTGAAGGGGCAGAAGAAGGAGATGGAGGGATTTTAGCCACGATTGAGTAAGATAAAACCAGATCTCAACGTGCTTACTTTAGGACAAAAAAGCGACCTACTTCTCTCCCCTTATTAGTTTGTTTCAGGCGTTGCTCTTTCCAAAGATTAAACTGTTAACTACCTCCCGTTGCAACGAGGATACTCTTCCCTTTAATTCCCCACTCTCTCCGAATCTCCTCGATCTGCGTTATTTTTCTGTTTGATTTTTGTTTTTTTGTTTTTTTGCATGTGCAGAATAGTATGCGGAGAAATTTGGGCATTTCTCCCCCCCCCCACTTTTTAGAGAATCCTCCCTTTCTGTTTTGCAAGAGGAAAGCTGAGGCAACCTCTGCCTTGTTTCCAAAGCTTTCTAAGTCACAAGGGTGTTTTTTTTTTTTTGGTTAAAAGGGGGTGGGTGGGTGGGGGAAAAAAGGACCACCCCTGGATTCAACATACCACTCAGGACAGGGCCTGCCTCCAGACGATGCTGAGCCCTCTCGCAAGCGGGATAATTGAAAGGAAGGAAGGGAGGGAAAGGGGGCGTTGGGTGAACTCGTTCTAAAATTACTTTTGGCGGCGGGGGTGGTGTTTGAGGGGGGGGCGGCGGTCGGGAAATCCTTCGCCAGGCTTCTTTCTCAACCGGTCCTGGGCGGCTGGGAGCCCTTTGAAACCAGTGATTACAACAACCCCAACTTCAGGAGGAGGAGGAGGAGGAGGCGGCACCGGCAAGCGCGAGAAAGCAGAGCAGAGAGAGCAGAGTAGCTTTCCGCGTGAGGGGCGCTTTCGGATTTTCCACGGCTTCTCTTCGCTCCCCCCCCGCAGCCCAAGGCATGGACCCTCCGCGCCGGCCGCCCTGGTCCCCGCTGCTTCTCCTCGCCCTCCTGCTCCTGCTGCCCTCCGGCCGGGCGCAAGGTAATAAGAGCAAAGGCGCTGCGCCAAGTTCGCGGCGGGCTTATGGAGAGGGAGGGTTGCGCGGAAACCCGGCTCTCTGGATGCGGAGAGCCGCCCGGGCGCGTGGAAAGCTCCAGGACGGGGCGTACGCGCAGGAGCTCGAGGCCCCCCCGTTTGTGCCTTCCCGCCTAGGGATGCCGCGCCGCCTCGTCGGGCTTGCAAAACGCCGAGCCGCCGCCGGAGGGCAGCAAAAGGGAGGCGAGATAATTCCCTCTTGCCACCCTCTAGAGGACGAGCGGAGTCCTGCAGGCCCCAACCGCGTAATCCGGGATCCGCTGGGGAAAAAAGGAGCGGGTGAGATCCCTTCTCCGTTCTCCACCCCGCACCGTTGTTCTAAAGCTGTGGTGGCTTGAGAAGGTTCACACGTTCAAAACAACCATCTCGGGAGGCAAAGCAAGGGGATCCGAGTCAGGTGCGGTTTTGAAAGTGCCCTTGGCATTGACGTTACGGAGATTCCCTCCCAACATCTGGGCTACTTTGAAAGTCCTCTTTTTTTTGTAGCCAAAAGGGGCGTGGGAATGGGAGGGCAGCTTGTGCAGATGGCACCCGGTTGGGGAAGGTTCCAGAAAGCCCTCGTTTTTGACGTGAGGTGAAGCATGGAGCCATGTCTTCAGTGGCAGATTCAGGCTCACTGGTGCCCTGAGCACTGACAAATCTTGGTGCCTCCCCCCCCCCCCTTTGTAAATACTGTACAAACGAAGCCATATTGTCAACTTTGGCCCTGGTGCTCAGTCTGCTTAATAGTTAATACATCACTGCCTTTGTTGTGAAAACAGGTCTTTCTCCCTCCCTCCACACATAATATATGCTCAAACTATTGGGACCAGAATTAAGCTTCCCCCATTGATTTTGCTTGATGGAGGCAGGCTGGGAAGATTACAAATAGTGATCACCTGACCCTCAGATGCTGCAAGCATCCTAAATAACATGCCTGTTCCCAAGTTCCCAAATTTTGATTATGCGACAGGAGATGCTGCAATGGTCTTAAGTGTGAAGACTGGTCAAAAGTCACTTTTTTTTCAGTGCTTATTATAACTTGGAACAGTTACTAATGGGGACTATCCATACATTGTAGGTAGCATATGTATTTATGACAAGATTGCCTTAGTCATGGAAGAGATATGTGCTATTTATCATGAAGATGGCTGTTACTGAACTTTAAGTTTTCTGTTTTCTGTTAGGATAAGGGAATAAAGTGGCAATGCTTGCTTAGAAGTAACTTGCTAATTTTATTCTTTCAAATGTATTTGGCTGCCAGTCTTCATGCAGATCTGGTTGAGAACCACGTGAAAATTGGCACAATGCTTTTAAAGCATGATGGTCTGTCTGAGAGAGGTATTAAGGTGCTTTTCTTCATAATAATATAGTGACATATCAGTCAGTATTCAGACTGAGGCCAAGAATCTGAGTAGTTATAAATACATTTACACCCTGTGTTTGAATTCTACTGAAATCAATCCACCCGTTTCCTGACATTGGGACAGATGTTATCGAGGATATTTGTAGGACTTGGTGTCTCTTTGAACAGTATTTCTCAATCTTGGCAACTTTTAAGACGGGTGGATTTCAACTCCAGGAATTCCTCTTGCACCATCGCGCATCTTAAAATTGCCAAGTTTGAGAAACAATGGCTTAAGGATGCTATTGCCAGCCTCCTCCATTTTCAGTAATCTCATTTGCTAAGAATGTGTAACACTAAGAAAAATGAAAGCCAGAAATTATAGCCAGTTGTGGCATTTTGAAAAACCAGTAGAACAAGGACATTTCTCTGGCTTCCATTCTTTAAACTCATTGTACTTCATACCGCTGTAACCACACTGTGGCATATAATGTTTGAGTATAAATATTTGAAAACCTGATGGCTGCCAGGATTAAGGTGTTTTTTCCCCCCTTTTTTGGTCATGCCAAAAGGCAACATATTTTTGACAGCCAAAAGGCAATGTTAGACGTAGGTTTACATCTTAATTTACATCTAGGCCAGGTATTCATAAAGAGGTGAACAGCCAAGCTGCATCAAGATAGAAGACCAATTATTCCTCTTGAGGCCTCATCAACCTGTGGCTTGCTTTGCATTGGGTCACCTGTAAACTTATATAAATGTCTTCTCTGTCATCCTGTTCAGTGATGAGTCCCCTGACCCTCCATTCAGGAAGCTGCCTCCTTCAGGTGCCAAAATTCACCCAGTTGTAAGTCCACCTAATAGCCAACATTTCAACAGCAGACCATTATGAGATTCTGGGTTGAATAAAACCTTTTTTTCCCTTGGGGTCCAGCTTTTATGGCCATTCATCTGAGCTACTCGGCTAGCGACTCTATCGAAGTAAGAGTTGGGTGTTTTTCAACTTTGGCAACTTTTAAGCTGTGTGGACTTCAGTTTAGTCTAGTGGTTAAGGCCTCGGAATAGAAAGCAAAAGACCATGAGTTCAAATCTTGTTTTAGCCAGGAAAGCCAGCTGGATGACTTTGAGCCAGTCACTGACAGAGTTATAGTGCGGAAAATAGGAGGAAGGTATGTTGGATATGCTCACTGCCTTGAATTATTTGCAAATTATAAAGGCAGTTTACAAATAAATGGGGAAAATGAACTCCAGTTGCTGGCTGGGACTTAAAATTGTCAACATTGAGAAACCCTGGTAGGGAGATGTGGTTGCTCTGGTATGATTTGTTTATAATAAACTGGTGCTGGCTCCTATTAATAGTAGAGAGTCTATCCAAGTCCTTGCAACCACACTGTTTTGCCATCTGTTCCTGCCCAGTTTGTAATCAACTGATAGGCCTGTTATTTCTATGGGCCTCCCTGGGCTAATTTTCTCTGTAAAACTCTAAAGCAGAGGTTTCAAACTCAAGGTCCAGGGGCTGGATCCACAGCGTGCTTCAATCCCTGGCCTGAAAACAGCAAAGGAGCTCCATTTTTCCTGGCAGGGGGCTGCAGGAGGCTGTTGTGGCCGAAAACAGGCTATCAAAACAAACTAAAAACAAAACCAAAAAGGAGAAATGTTTCTCCTTTTGCATTTCAGCATCCAAGGGACAGGAAAGGAGAAAGGGAAAGAGGAAAGGCGAAGAAAAATTGGAGATAAGGAAAGAGGGGAAGGAAGAAGAAAGAATGAAAAGGGAAGGGAAGAGAGGGAGGAAGGGGATTATAATAAGAGTGAGGGAGGGTCTCAGGGAAGCCTTGCATTAGCACTTGGCCACCACAGGTGCCTCTGACATGTGCCATGCCTGCCATGGCCATGCCCATCCCTGGCCATGCCCACCCCCAGCCACGCCCATCCCCGGCCATGCTGGCCACTGCCCGGCCCTCTGAAGTCACACAACCCTTCATTGAAATGAAATGTGACATCCCTGCTCTAAAGCCTCTGAAATATGAATCTGTTTTGATTATTAGAATTTTAAATAAATGAAATGAAATAAATGATTGATTGTTGTGCCAGCAAATTGGTGCCAGATTTTAGTAACTTCTAATGTTAATTGTTGTGGGAATAATATCACATAACCCCAGTTATGATTATCTGACAGATTTATAATTTCTGAATTGATGTACTGAGCAGGGATCTGGCTAGACATCTACTTCCAGTTTGATGAATGGTCCTTCCCTGCTAGCAAACTCCTCTGATGCTATAATAGTTGAGGCACTTCAAAAACAACCATTTCCCCCTCCATAAGAATGGGCAGCTGTCGACTACTGGATAAGGCAGGCAATCTGTCCTCTTGGTATAGGCTACATGCTTTCTATGGCATCTGGAGAAACTTCAGTGGGACAGAAAGTTAATGTCAGCCCACGTGGTGTAGTAGTAAGAGCATTGGTCTGGCATCAGGGAGACCTGGGTTCAAATTTCACTTGGCTTAGTTACTCAATGAGTGGTGGGATTCAATTTTTTTTACTACCAGTTTTGTGGGCATGGCTTGGTGGGCGTGGCTTGGTAGGCATGGCATGGGGAGGATACTGTAAAATCTTCCCTCCCCACTCCTGGGGGAAGGGTACTGCAAAATCCCCATTCCTTCCCCCTCCCCACTAACCTGCTTTCCAGCTCCCTTCTCCTGTGCAGGGCAACCAAAGAAGACCCAGCTCATCAGCTGGGACTCAATGGGAGGCAGAGAATAGATGGTGACAGGGCCAGTCAGAGGTGGTATTTGCTGGTTCTCCAAATTACTCAAAATTTCCACAACCAGTTCTCTAGAACTGGTCAGACCCTGCTGAATATCACCTCTGAGTGGCTCTCTCTAAACCTAGCCTACTTCACAAACTTGATGCTAGGATGTTATAAGGAAGCATGACCCCACGTTGCGCCGCCTCAAGATCATTTCAAGAAAACAGGATTCATACATGACCTGGGGGAAATGAAAGGGACATGACTTGTGTCGGTCAACACCACGTGTTCGTGCATCGTTTTTTTGTCTGATGCAAGTCTGTATTTTACACCATTTACATACAACAGGACATTGTTTTCAGGTTCATGTATGAGCCATGAAAACGTAAGTGCCTACTGTATTATTATTCTCAAAGTATTAGCACTTTTTTCTTCAAAAGCCTAGGCTGCTTTAATGGTTTGCCTAGGGGTGCTGTGCTTGTCCTTCCAAAGGATGTTGATACATAAATATTAAGCACGTTAAAATGCAGGTAGTCCTGGACTTATCACCACAAGTGGGACCAGAACTTCCATCACTGAGTCATGCCTGATTTTATGACCTTTTTTTGTCATGGTCATTAAATGGATCCAGCTTGCCAGAAGCCCTTTGGCAATGTTACAAATGGCAATTTGTACACTGCAACCATTGTAAACACACGCCGGTTGCCAAGCACCTGAATTTTGTTCATGTGATTGCAGCGAACTGTCAGTCATAAGTGTGAGGACTGGTCATGAGTCATATTTTCCAGGACCATTGTAATTTCACACAGCTGCTGAATTGAGTACTTCTCTGCATCAATCACTCAGGGGCGTGCAAAAAAGTACCAGTGCGTAC